TTTTTCTTTTTTTCAGTTGGGTTGGGTCGGGTCGCTCTCAAATTAATGTAGCTAAATATGAGACTCTAACCCTAATTATTTAGGTTGGGTTGGGTCGGGTTCACAGGTTGGGTCAAATTTTTGGTAAGTCTAAATGGAAATGTAAAATAACATTTTTTACATTGATTTATTTTACAATTATAAACAAAAAGAATGAATTTTTATGTCTTTTTTGTAATAATCATTAAATGAGAGAGGGGAGTCATTTCTTGATAACCATTAAATAAGAAAACAAAATTACATATTTACCAATGCTCCATCTTTACTTCAAACTTTAGAGATATGGTATTTTAATTTAGTAAAAAATTCTAAAAGCCAACCACATCTATTCTGCTTTTATAAATTGTATATATAAATATAGATATAACAAAAGCAATGAAACAGGTGAAGTAATAATTAGGAAAAAGTACTAATTATGAAATAATGCACTTAGAAGGAATATGCTTACCCCATTGCGTATGAAACTTAGATAATATCATCTATAAAATATGATGGGTTTGTTTAAAGAACAAGTGAAGTAGCAATATAATTCAGTTAAAATTTTGAATTCGCCAAGTGGATAAACTAAGGAGACTGCGTGGGTGAGTTGTCTCTAATTAGAAATCTCAATGCAATTTGTAGAAGACATCATATCAAAATATTCTCAACTTAAATGCCTAATGCAATTTTAAAACATTGTTAGTATACCTATCTACAGAAATAGGATGGGTGAGTTGGCAAAACATTGTTAGTATAGAACTCTCTCAGAGAAAGAATTTAAAATCCATATATAGGATTGGAATACCTATCCCCACACATATATGTATATCCCTCCAGAGGAATGAAATATGCTAAATTAATTGTGCAAACCGAACAACTAATACATCAGAAGATTTCTTGAGATTCACAAGGCTTTAGAACATCCAAGTTATCTAAACTTTAGAATGCGCCAAATAGAGAAAATGTAGAGTTTTTGCCATAGATAGGATTACAATGCTATCTACAAGCAAACATTAATGTAAAAGCAACACTAGTGCTGTGAATTAGAAGCATCTCCCCATGAATAACAAGGAGATATTCCCAATGCGATCTTGTAGTGGTGTGTGGACAGGGTTGTGGGTAGGAGATMCGAACCCCAACTCTTTTGATTAAACATTTCAATGTAATTAGTATAGAAAACATGGAGGCATAATTAAAAGTAAAAACTTGTGAGAATTTTTGGGTTGGGCATGTTACTATGAGATTGAACAAATTAGTTATTGCCTTTTGATTTATTTTGAATAAAAACAAAAGCATAGCCGTGAATTGATGAACTGCCATGAACATGCCGAACCCATACTCTCTCAACAGAAAAGGCTGTTGGGGGCCAACAGCCAAAGTTAATACTAATTAAAAGGGTGTTCAACAATAAGGTTGGTTTTATTTTTGAAAAGAAAAACAATAAAAACAATATAATTTTGTAGAAGGAACAGTTGTTTTTCTTTTTAAAAATAAAATCAACCATATTATTAAACACCCCTTAAGGTATGGAGGCAACTTTGTAGTAGTACATAAGAGTGGATGTTTCGATATTTAGGAAGGCATGGTGTTTATCATATTTATGCACAAATCATACTCCACCAATGTGACCTAATGTTACACTATCAGCCCAAAGCCCAGATAAAAGAGGGTTGCATCACATTCTCAACCAGCACTAGTACTTATCCTAAACTCTCATGGTCTCGGATTCTGATGATGATTCATGCACAAAATCATAAAGATGCATGCATCAAAACTATTGAACTCAGCAAATTTTTATCTAGGGGTGACAATTTTCCCTGTCCCCAACGAGTATTCAGCTCTTTGACTCGACAGGGTTGGGGTCGGTGATGGGGCGATCCCTGAATCTCCGATCAAATTTGGAAACGGGGATAGGAAATGCAATTCCCGCCCCCTTCCAATCCTGATCATTTGTCTCATCGCTGATCACTGATCGTCGTTGCTGTCGCCACTCGCCCATCGGACAAAGTCATTATACAAGGGTTAAGACCCTTCATCACCTCCAGGAATGTATTCCGCAAAGACAAAGTCATTATACAGCATCCCCTCTCTCATCAGGCAAATAGCGAAGCCAGTTTTGGCAATTGACGACCAATGCCTCATCCTCTCTGAGATCTAGCATGCAAGGATTCAATTGACTCGTGAGGTGATGAAAGCTGCTAGAGAAGTCACCCGATAAAGTATCAAGCAGATTTGCTGCAGGAAGATGAGCAATCGATAACATGGAAAGCGAAAGGAACATCCCTGATTTTCGCGAAATTCGCCAAACGGAGACCAACTTCATCGCTTGACACATTAAGCAAGGGAAGCACCGGAGGTCTACAGGAGGGCAGAGTAATTCCAACTAAGGGAGGACCTTCAGGCCTTTTGGCCAAGGCATCGATGAGTGTAGGCCAAACTAAATCCTCGGGGATTCAAGTCTCCGATGGGGAATTCATCCCCGTCAGAGTCGGAGATAGAGGGGGCATTTCTTTTCTGGCGGGGATCAGAGACAGAGATGGGGTGATTTGGGGGTTGGGGTCGAAGATGGCTGAAAATGTAATCCCTACCCCAAACCCGCCCGTTGCCATTCCTATTTTGATCTGTTTGCCATCCTTTACATGAGTCCTATCTCACCATTCCACTCTATCAATGGCCATATCTCAGTTGTGATGAGTTTCCTTTATTAACATCATTTCTTAATGCATGTTGCGCATAAAGGAAAAGGAACAAATTCTCAAATAGATATTTATTAAAAAGAAAGGACATGTTTATTGGATGAGAAAATTAAAATTGACCATAAATTATAAGACAAATTACGAACAACAAGTTGAAATATATGGCTATATGGCAACCATTATGTAGACCCTGGACTATCATATTTTGGATACTACCAATATTTTTTTTTTTTACTTCTTTTGAAAGGAAGGCTACACAACGGGGGTGTAGCTCATCCCCCAATCCAACTGCAGGCGAGATTTGATTCCAAATCTCCATTACAACCAGTAAGAGACCTTATCAACCAATTGGTTGGCATCTTGCATATTTTCAATAATATTGTAAAATGTAGACTTATTGACCCAAATTGTTAAGAATGTCATCTATATATTGAAGTAGTTTATTTTACAAAAAAAATAAATAAATTTAATGAAATAAGTAAACCATTTTCAAAAAATATTGAACCGAGTAAGGCGATGTTCGACACAGTGTTCATCTCGTGGATAGGACCGAACAGGATGAACACCCGTTTTGCTGGCTATAGCATGGACCGGTCCCATCCACACCCCGATTTCTCATCCATGGCAAAAACTTATGGTTCCCATCCACACTCTATTTTTTATCCCCTGCTTCACACTCTCCTTGAAAGGCTGAAAACCTATTGTCAGTTTCACATTTTAATATTTTTGTCAATAAATATTAATTATTTTACTTAATTTTTTAATTTTTTTATTTTAATATTTTTATCAAAGGTTTTCGAACCGTTGTTGATCAAGACAGTTGGATCATTCAGCCCGGGAACTATCCAGGCAAGTGGTTTCGTTTTACCCCAAACTCGGTTTTTGGCCAAAAACCGTTGAAAAAGTCAACAACCCATTGACCCGGACAGTCGGACTGTCTACCCGAAAACCGGTGGCCAGAATGGTTCCATTTCTGGGTCATTTTTTAAAATGTTTTTATCAATAAAATAAATTTTTTTAATTTTTAATTATTTTACTATTGTTTTTATAAAAAGTTATATTTATTGGTTAATATTAATTCATTGGTGAATTTTTCGATATATTTATCATATAAAATGAAAAATTAGATATTTATGATTAATTGTGTAGAATTGTAGATCATTCATATATGTATATGAGATACATGAAATCAAGCCTACAGAACGTCATTGCGAGTGTAGACTGGATCTGTCCGTAATTTCAGAACAACTGTGGATTATGGTGCGGTATGATATGCATTGGTCCCTGCCACAAGGTTGTAATAGATCATTCCACACCCACTAATTTCTCATCCACACTACAAAATACCCCCTAAATCTAGTATTATATGAAATCTTTATTTTTTTGCTCAAGAATAACAAAAAAGAAGATATTTTTCAAAACAATATCCACATATTTGGCCAATGATCTAATAATCAAGATAGTCACATGCTACTCCCACATACTAATATATTATAGTAAAAATCGACATAATGGGGGTTCAGGTACCCAAAGATTTTTCCACTTCTATGAAGTAAATTAGGTACTACCATGTCCTATCCTACCACCACGTAAATTAAGTAGTACTGCCACGTGCCACCCCTAACATAACGGTCAATATTAACTCTCTAATTATGTTTGCTCCCTTTATGATCTAAAAAGCTCTTCCGTGACGTTAGCATTGCTTTTGTTTCGTACAAGATTTGTGAACTTGTTTGCAGCAGACATTATTCAATCGCTGCGAAGTTCGAAGTGCGAACCTCCCTAGTTTCCTTTCCCACTTTGGCTGGTTAAACACTAAACAGTGTGAACTTGTTTGCAGCAGACATTATTCTCTCTATATGTGAACTTTGCCATTGTCATCTGCCACACTAAAAACTAAACAGTGAATGTGGATCCCACCCATGCCATGACACAAGTCTCCCAACCCCCGGAGGAAAATGCCAAACACACCACATAAAACTCAATAGATTCCATTCTCACGGTTCCAAAGGGATTAGGGGTTGCAGAGTTCACACTACAGTAAGAGCTGCATCATGGGTGTTACCCCGCAAGTAGTACCCGTGACAATGAAAACAAAAATAATAATATTAGAAAAGAATCACGGAATCCCAGGAAGGCAGAAAGTAGAGTTTATTTCGTATTTTGGGATATGCTCCACTATCTCTGCACACGTGTTGCCATTATTAGTATCCACGTGGCTAATTTGTTCGCATTTATGAGAAGCGTTAATACCCCCATCTGGCATTTTAAATACGAGCAGCTTCGCCTTCGGCTTCCAGCCTTCCATCGTCCATCCGGCCTCTCCTGTCCCGAACCCATTACATATTTACATTGTCTGCTTTCAGCTTTCTCCCTCTCGTCTTGTGCCGCTGCTGGTTTTCATTCTTCACTCGCTGTCCGCCATGGCTGTTCGAGGGCTGTTTCTGACCATGGCTCTCGGGTTCGCCTTCGCCGGCTTCCTTCGCTGCGTGGTCTCGTATGATCGTCCCCCACCGCGTGATACCCTGGTTATTCCTCTACACAAAGATCTCGACTCAACTTCGCCCCAGCAGGTATTTCTCCGGTTCTCCTCCATTGTTATACGCATCAGCTACTCTCCGAGTCTATTTATCATCATAACTAATCACTACTTCCACGATCTGTTTATTCCATTTCATTAGATCGTTCGATTTCTAACTGTTCAGTTTGAATTCACTGAAACAAACAAGAAATATGAGACAAATGTTATCCCCGCTCACTGTCCAGCCGAATCCCTGGAGTTTTGCTTTTGGATTTCTTCCATTAAGATTATTGATGCAGATGCATTTCTTATAAATTACTCTTCCTCTCTTTGTTCCTTGTGGTACATCTATGTCTCTCTCTCTCTCTTGTTTCTTTCTTCCCAGCCCATTTCTGCAGTCTCCTTTGTCGCTACTTCCTAATGAGACGATCCATCTAGCTTTGATACACTCAACCAATTTGGGGTCCACCACCGACGGTGACGATTATGGGTTGTTTCCCAAACAGAATAACTTCATCTATCTCGTGATATGAGATCATTCCAAAATTTTCAAACAGGAATCTCCAAGACTCCCACCAACAGTTACCAAACTGATAGTAGTTAAGGGGAGTTGTGGAATATCAAAATTTTCTATCTATTTCTTCCTACATCTCCACAAACCCGGGTCCCATGGCCCCCATCACATCAAAACGATGGTTCACCTTCTGTGGGCTCATCCATATCATCTTATCCAAATAGATATGATCTTTTGTGATCAACGGTTAACGTTAAAAGGGAGCATGTCCTCTGCAGGTGCATATATCTTTGGTGGGTAAGGACAAGATGAGAATAACGTGGATTACGGTGGATTCAACTCCAGCTACAGTAGAATATGGTATATCTTCGGGGSTATACGGTTACTCTGCAACCGGAAGTACGTACTCGTATGAGTACGTCACTTACAAATCTGGAGAAATACACGATGTTGTCATCGGTCCATTGGAGCCGGATATGGTTTATTACTACCGATGCGGATCGAACCCGGCTCGTGAATTCAGCTTCAAAACTCCGCCGGCTCAGCTTCCCATTAAATTTGCCGTGGCAGGTAATTATGAATTTATGATTTATGCAAGCATTCCCTTGAATATATGAATGAACATTGAACACTCCTTAGGTGGCGTTTGGTACATCTTTCTGTGTGGTTTTCTGGGCTTAGGCAAGTTTGGAAGTTCGATTTTTGGATTTTAGATATGTACCTAAGGCTCAGTTTGGAAGGAATACAATATGTAGAGTTCAAAATCTTGTATTTTGTATTATTTTATATGTATTTGCACTTTACATATTTATATTTGTTTTCTTTCCAAACTAAGGATAAAGGTTTAGTTTGATAAGAGTATAAATATAAATATATACAATACAAATACATACAAAATAATATAAAATACAAGGTTTTACACTCAGTTTATAGGTTTTGCAATCTACAAAATAATACGTATTTTCACTGTGTACTCCTTCCAGTTTGAAAGGACAGAAGGAGTACAAATATGTAAAGTGCAAAGTCTTATATCTTTTATTATTTTGTATGTATTTGTATTTGTATTCCTTCCAAACTGAGCCTAAAAAGATATGAAAAGATGATGATATTGTTTCAGGAAATTTTAAAGTTAAAGGGTAAAATATGAAATTGTTTCAGGAAATTTTAAATTTAAAGGGTAAAGTATGAAAATCTCCCTTGAGATTTCTGACATTCATAAAAATATCCCTGAGGTTTACTTTCATAAAAACCTCCCCTATAATTTATCAAAAACTTATAGTTACCTCCTTTTCATCTTTGTTCCAGTAACGAGGACTTCAAAGTTACCAATTACCCTTACAGCTTATCAGGGCATCTTTCAATATAATTTAAAATACCAGATTTTCCCTTCTAAACTTTAATAGGCTTAATGTTTTTATAGAATAAAATTACTTAATTCTTTTTAATCTAACTTGAAGATTTTTTTTAATTAAAAGTGAAAAATGTTTTTAGGGGTATTTTAATAAAATTTTCATCTAAATTGATAGATATAAGGGTAAAATCGATACTTTTGAAAAACTAATGCATTAGGCTAACATTCCTGTCCATAACAATAAGAAAAGAGAGGTAACTGCAGGTTTTCCCAATAATATAGGGGAGGTTTTTATGAAAAGAAAACCATAAAGGAGGTTTTGTGATTGTCAAAAACATCAGGGGAGGATTTTATATTTTACCCAACTTTGAATGAAGCTTTTGAATCTTTTCACGTAATAAATAACCTTTAAATGCATTTTTAGAAACCTGATAGACTGAACCACTTATTTAAAGGTTTAGATTTTTAAAGCCAAGACCCTAGAATAAGTTTTTTTTTTTTTTGTTACCATCTTAGCTGTCGAAAAATCTTCCTCAAATAAATTTTCAGGTGATCTGGGTCAGACCGGGTGGACAGACTCGACCCTCCAGCATATTGAAGGATCAAACTATGATGTGTTGATATTGCCCGGAGACCTATCTTATGCAGACTGTTACCAGCCGCTGTGGGATTCTTTTGGTCGTCTAGTGGAGCCTCTTGCCAGTCAACGCCCTTGGATGGTGACACAGGGCAACCACGAGGTAGAGAAGATCCCCATCGTCCACTCCCATTCCTTCACATCCTACAATGCCAGGTGGCATATGCCCTTTGAGGAGAGTGGGTCYAACTCCAACCTCTACTACTCCTTCGAAGTTGCCGGAGTTCATGTCATCATGTTGGGATCATACACAGACTTCGGCCCAAGCTCAGGCCAGTTCAGGTGGCTTGGAGACGACCTGGCGAAGGTGAGCAGAGAGAGGACTCCATGGCTGGTTGTGCTCATCCATGCGCCTTGGTACAATTCAAATGCTGCCCACCAAGGAGAATACGAAGCCCAAGGCATGAGGGAAGCCATGGAGAAGTTGCTTTTTGATGCTCGCGTCGACGTAGTTCTTGCCGGCCATGTCCACGCCTATGAACGCTTCGTAAGCTGCCTTCAATCCCTTCAACCTTTCATTCAATCTGAACAAGTAGAGAAGATGAATCAGTTGGTTTATTTTTATTATATATCTTACTGTTTGATCACTTAAATGCATTGCCAGACTCGAATCTACGATGGACAAGCCAATAACTGTGGACCAGTTCATATCACCATTGGCGACGGTGGCAATCGTGAAGGCCTTGCCAAGAAGTAATTAAGTTCTTGACTTCTTGCTTTTGTGCCTGCTACCTTCATATTGAGTTCACAGAATTGTTTGGTTGTTCAGTTCTTGCTTTTAACCACTGTGTGCATTGCATTTGTATGAACAGTTTCATGGACCCCCAACCCAAAATATCGGCTTTCAGGGAGGCAAGTTTCGGGCATGGCCGATTGGAGGTGGTGAATGCTAGTCATGCATTGTGGAGTTGGCATAGGAATGACGACGATGAACCAGTCGTAGCTGACACAATCTGGATTAGAAGCCTCATAGCAGATCCGGCTTGCAAGCGAATGTAATATAAATTATAGAAACGTTTTTAAAACTTCGTGGAATCCTCCTGATTCCTGAGCATACAAAAGAAGAGAAATAGAAAAAGATTGTTTACCATTGTGATTCTGATTCATTTGGTTATTCGATCAATTGGCCATCACTTCGACTTGGTGAGTTGGTGCCCCAATCCTCACATATGGGGTGGGCTGCAGCTCCAGGCCTTAGTCTTCTGCTAGGATTGACACTTGCTAAATAGACAAACTATGGGCCTGCAATTTGTAGCCCAGTCCACTTGTTTCACACATGGGATCTCTTCTCTCTCTCTCTCTGGATTAATAGTAGAAACTAACATAACAGTGGGTTGACTTGATTATGCCTGCATAATGTCCTTGAAATCTGTCCATCACTCATTGCATGGATGCAACAGTAGGCTAACACAACTCGCTGCATRGATGCAAACCGATGTAATCGAATTCGATAAGAGGGCATATTCGATTCGATTGGTCAATCGATCTGAATTCAATAAGAATCCATCGGATTTTTAAGATTGTGATTTAAATTCGAATTTGATTATCTTATTGAATGTTCGATTTAATTTGAATTGTAATAAAAAAAATCGAGATATCATCTTATTTATAATATATCATCGAATTCTTTTATAATATACCATTAATTTTTTTTTACTACAACCTAAGATAATCAAATTCGAATTTGAATCTTATTGAAAATCAAATATACCCTCTTATCAAATTCCAGCGAGTTGTGTTAACCTACTGTTGCACCCATGCAACGAGTGATGGACAGATTTTAAGAACATTATGGGTCTACATTCTTAGGCATAATCAAGTCAACCCACTGTTATGGCAGTTTCTACTATTAAATTATTAATCACGAGAGACTGTTATGGCAGTTTCTACTATTAAATTATTAATCACGAGAGAGAGATTCGAGGGAAGAGGCAGCCACCACCTTCTCCTTTTTTTTATTTTTCTTCTTTCCTACTTCCTTCTCATCTGCCATTCCTACTCTCTCAGTCTCTTGTCTCTTAGTTAATAAGACGTATATAGTCATATATCTTACCTTAATATTCTAATTTAAAGGCCAAGATGTAATATACATTATTTAACGGATTAAACTGTTCGACGTGGATGATTGGACTGCTAATTCGATCGGATAGCAGAAGCTACAGCGGTTTCATTTTCGGATCAATTTTTAAAACTCTTGATAAATCTGAATTCTAAAATCTGAAAAGGTAAAAAGATATTAAAAATGTCTAATATCTGAAAAGAGGCATAGATGTTTTTTTACTTTTTAGAGATTCTTAATGGATAAGGTTGTTCGTGTTGAATCAACCCTTTAACAACTGAAATTCCTTGATTTTACTATTTTACCCCTAAAATAGACTATTTGGTAATTTTGAGTTTAATTTGTATTATTTCATAAAAGATAATTTATTAAATTCAAAATAATATTGAAAAAATATGAGTAAATTATAAAAATAAAAAGTAATTTATTAAAATAAGAATAAAATTGAAAAATACATATAAATTTATATATTAAAATAAATTATTAATAGTTATAATAATAATGAAAATAGYAATAAAGTCCATGAAGCAATGAAAAAATATTTAATAATTATCAAATTATTAAATTAAAACTATTAAAATATTTAATAATTAATAATTGATACAAAAAAAAATTATAAAAAATAACAAATAATTTATTAAAATTAGAAATGCATATAAATTTATAAAATAATAATAAATTATTAAGAATTAAAATAATAAAAAATATTAATAAAGTCTACGAAGTAATTAAAAAGTATTTAATAATTAGCAAATTAATATCTTAAAAACTATTATGGATTCTAAGAATTTTCATCCAAAAAATTGCCAGATGTATTTGGCACAGTCATTTGATTCTTGTTTCTTAGAAACAGAATCACATTTGGTATCACCCCATTTCTTGAAATTAATTCTCTAGTTGATTGATATATAAAAACATGTGAATTCTAATAAATATAAGTCCAATTGAAACTCCATTATACTATATTATGTATTTTTACACAACAAAAGGATTACATTAACCACATAGAATTATTACACTGAGTTTTCCTACTGCCATCAGTAGTGGTTACAATGTTAAACTTGCAAGCTTTGTAAGCAATATCATGAGAGCAGTGTTAGATACTCTACTTATATGCTTAATACATATATGATCAAAAGACATCAGCAGGTTCATTGTCTGATCCATGAGGTGTTTTGTCTCCCAGTCAGCTGTGGTAATCTGATTAACTGTATTTACAACTCCTGCTGAATCACAAAAAATTTGCATCGACTTGATGCTTAAGCTCGAAGCCTTTTCCTGTCCCTCAATCAGAGCCCACCATTCAGCTTGGGCAGAAAATGTGGCCAGGCTGCGGAAATAACAGTTATTAGATCCTGAATCATATTGCAGCAGTCCCTATAACAGGCATGTAGGCTCCACTAGTGAATAAGATACGGGAAGGATTTCCCCATGAATGAAAGTTGTGGATAGTTCTGTTGGGAGGATGGATTGTCTCTGGACTGAGGTAGGTTTCAGCTTTTTCTAACAGCTGAGTTGGGTAAAGAATGGGTTAACCATGCATCTTAGAATTTGTCATGTCCCAGAAAAGACGAAAAATGATGAGGAACTTTGCAAAAATAGAACTTTGTGTTATCTTTAGTTTTATTGCATAACTTGACTGACAACCATGTGGAGATGAATTGTGGGTATGGATTCTGGGTCTATTCCTATCTGCGCTAGCATCCATATAGCTTTGTGGCATAGTGACAAGAGAAGAAGAGTTGGTCTTGAGGTAGTAGAAAGACCATCTTGTCCTTCTGTATAGCAGACCTTTCCCCTTTTAAGTGGATAGGCCATCTTGTCCTTGTGTATAGCAGCTCTTCTAAGTGGACAGACCTGCCACTATACAAAGAAGCTATTTTGGTACCCAATCTATATATGCTATCTGTATCAAATTCATCCATCCCATCCATCTTGGGATCAATTAGATTAAATAAATAAGCTGAAATTTTAGCTTGATGGTAGTCTGACCTTATGTTGAGGTTACATCATTGCAAGTTTAAAGAAGATGGCATACTCTATCTCTGCCATGTGTAAGGAAGATATGGCTGATCCAAGTCATCCAATAGGTAGAGGACACTCTGGATCAGTCTTGTGTTCAATCATGGGTTCAAATCAGTTCTGTGCCCCCTCCCTGGCTGATGGTTGCAATTGTTTGGACTAATGATAATTGATTTGCAGATCAAAATAGGTGGAGACCTTCCCCCCTCTCACTCCCTAAATTAATTTGTAGAACAGCTGAGAAATTGACCGGTTAATTATAGGAACAACTAAGGTCCAGGCCTCCAGTCTCGATTGAGGCCCCATCGAGTTGTGGCAACTACATCAAAACGCTGCAAACTAGGACTACAAACCCTAGGGTATACCAAAACCAAGAAATCCTGGGAGATTTCAATACTGAAGAAGAGGGAGAGTACCGAGTAACTGAGAGGAAAAATTAAGACAATTAATAATGGAGAAATAGGCAAGAGTTATAATGTCATATAGACGGTAAACTGGAACAAGAAGAAAACAGAACTTATATGAATCCATCCATTCAGCACAAACAAGCCAGGTGGACCATGACTACATTTGATAGATCATAGTTTTTAAGGCACCAAGGCGAGGCTAGGCGACAAGAGGGCGCCTTGCCGCCTAGTCGCCTAGGCGATGACTTTTTTTAAGTAATTAAAAACATGTATCCTATGGTAGTTCCCTAGGTTTTATAATCAGATTTCCTTAATAAATATCTATAATTTTCATAAGAAAAGTATAAAATTCATGTTGAAGTATAGAAAATCAACATATTTCAACATATTCATGAGAAGAAAAAGAAGAAAGAAAAGAAAATTAAATATATATAAGAAGAAAGAAATAGGGGCTGAACCCCTATTTCTGTTATAGAAAAAAGAAAAAAAATAAAAGGTGGAAGAAAAAGAACAAGAACAAGAAGAAATTAGTATATAAACACACAAAGTTAGTAAAGAAAAATAAGAAAATGTATTGATTGGAAAACATTTTATATTCTTTCTTGCTTATTGGTTCAGGTTTTGAAGTCTTTRAGGGTTCAATACAGCATTTAGCAATATTTGTGTTGATTAAACCCTAACAAATAAGAAAATAAAAAAAAAATAGTATATAAATACAAAAAATGAATATTTTAGTTTAAAAATATCTATTTTATAATTATAACCTCAAAAAATTAAGAATATAAAATTTTTTTATATAACACGCTATAAAAAACTACTTAACGATTAGGCGAGGCGAACCTCCAACGGTGCTTGTCGCCTTGGCAACTATGAGGTAGATGTCAATGTATATGTTTTCTTCCATGTTTCGTTGTTAGAAGGGAATAAAAAAGCGACCCAGAAGGAATAAAAGTGTGAAAATGATGGCCATTACCGCTGCTTTCTTTTCAAGGTTTGGTGGTGCTTTCATTCATCTATGTCTTGTGTACTAAAAACAGCCATTATCGCCGACATTGTATGCAACAAATACAAGGAAGAAAAGTGTGAAAAAGTCAAAAAGACTAACATTCTCACCTGAAATGTTAACCGGTGCCGGAGCACTTTAGAGACGTTGATGCTAGAACAACCGAAAGAAGGGGAAGAAGAAAGAACAAAGAAAAGAATGGGGTAAGGTTGATTGGGTGATGTTAGAAGAATAACCGAATTAACATTACAGCCCTCAGTTTCACGTGTCCACACGTGGTGAGAATTGCATTTATGAGAAGTCACTTTTTTCACTTTGCAGAATCGTGTTTCTGTACTGGTTTTTTCATCCCGGTCCGAATGAGAATTGATCTATTGGTTTGAGCCGAACGTGATTCTCATCCAAAGAATCACCCGAATGGGCTTTAATTCGTAATCGGAATCAGAATCAAAATTCTTTAAAATTAGAATTGGAATGATTTATTCTCATAATTTATTAGATTCAGATAAGACTCAGAATAGAAATTGAAATTAACTGAAATAGAATTTCATTCTCAAAGGAGGGGAAAAAATAATCATTCTTTCAAATAAAGGAATATCATTTTTCAAAAAAA